CCTGAGAAGAAGCATCAAGGGGTCATGGTGCTCAGTTAAGGCTCATCTACACAGTGTGCCTGGGTAGGAACATCAAGGGGTCCTAGACCTCAGAAGAGACTCATCTACACAGTCTGCTTGGGAGGGAGCATCAAGGGGTCCTGCCTGGTGCTCGGTATAGGCTCATCTACACAGTGTGCCTGGGTAGGAGCACCAAGGGGTTTTGGCGCTTGGCGGAGGCTCATATACAGTGTGCCTGAGAAGAAGCACCAAGGGGTCATGGGGCTAGGTTAAGGTATCATTTACACAGTGTGCCTTGGAAGGAGCACCAAGGGGTCATGGCGCTTGGTGGAGGCTCATCTACACAGTGTGCCTGGGAAGGAGCATCAAGGGGTCCTGGAGCCACAACTGTTCCATGTGGAGGCCAGTACACTGGTAAACCTGGATACAAACCTTCAACAACACATGTTGCAATATGATCTTAATGTAGTAAGACGAATTCTATGGATGAACAACTTCTTTATTACAATTAGTGCGATGTTTCGGTGTAGATCCTTAACACCTTTATCAAGCAAGTGATGGATAGTGCTAAACAACATAGGTATATATGTTACAGGAAACAAGTATAATAATCTCCGACCACACCCAGACCCACCCCGACCACAACATCCAGTGGAACAACATCAAGATCCTGGCCAACAATCAATCAGACTACAAAATCAGGAAACACCTAGAAGCCATCTACATCAAAAGGATCCAGCCAGCCTGCTTACCATCCCCTAATTGCTAAATCCCTATGTCCATCCAATTAATCCACTGGCTTCCATCATCTCTATCAGTCTGCTTGTTGACTCTGTGTTCATTAGTCATCCACTGGCTTCCAATTATCTTAATCAGCTCTCTGTGTCCATCAATCATTTACTGTATAAACTTTGATGTTAATAAGTATATATACCTATGTTGTTTAGCACTATCCTATGGATCCGCACTAAAAGCATTAAAATGGCAGAAAACTTAATCCAAAAATCTCTAAATAAAATACAACAATGGGCAGACAAATGGGGCTTCTCCCTTAACTCAGATAAAACAACAGGAGTAGTATTCAAACATAAAAACATGAAACCTGCCCACCCAATCCTCCAGCTAAACAACCAAACAATCAAATTCCAAAAACAAACCAAATTCTTAGGACTTATTTTCGATCAACACCTCACCTGGGAGGCTCACGTCCAAAACCTAAAAACTAGATGCAGCAAAGACCTTAACACATTAAGATGTCTCACCGGCTCCAACTGGGGAGCCTCCAAAGATACCCTCCTCTCACTATATACAACACTAATTAGATCAAAACTAGACTACGGCTGCGCCATATACAATACCCTAAACAACTCTCTAACTAAAAAACTTGACTCAATACAATACCAAGCCCTTAAACTAATTACACGCACCCAACATGGCACCTCCTACACCTCACTTCAGGCCCTTACAGGAGAAATGCCACTAAATCTACGCAGGGAACATCTAAGCCTTAATTTCTGGGCCGCGTCCCAAACAAACCCTCTCATCCAAAACCTAATTAACCAAAACATTAGCCCAAGAAACCAAGCTCTAGCTCGCAAACACCCCTTACTCACCCCAATATCCCAAAGAATAACTAACTACCTCAATGAACACCAAACTCAAAATCTTAAACAAAACTGCAAAAAATCAAATATCTTCACCCCTAAACTCAAAATACCCCAAATAGACACAACGCTAACTAACCAAATAAATAAACAAACTGACCCAAACATAGCTAAAACCACCACACTTTCATACATACACGAAAATTGGCCAAATTGGTGTCACATATACACTGACGGATCTTCAGACCCGATCTCCAACCACACAGGTTTCGGAGTCCATACCACACAACCAGTTACATCCACACAATCTTACTGACTCCCTAACAACCAATCTATATTCACGGCCGAACTTATGGGCATGGCCTCAGCCCTGCATAACCAACAATCAAAAAACAACAAAAAAATCCTAATTCTCACTGACTCGCTTAGTGGGCTACAAGCCCTCCAAAACAAAAATACCAAAAAACGACCTAAATTAATAAACCAAATACTTAAAAGCTCCAACGACCTAACAAAAGCAGGCAAACAAATAACCTTCTTGTGGATCCCCGCCCACGTAGGAATTTACGGCAATGAAAGCGCCGATAAAGCAGCTAAATTATCTCTCAAAATACCAGAAATAAGCCTAAACCTACCCATCTCAAAATCAGAAATTAAAAGTGTAAACAAACAAAAAATAACCAAAAAATGGCATAATCAATATCAAAACTCAAATAGCCAAATCCAAAAAGTGCTCAGAAAACCACTAGCCAAACCTAAAATCCTACACCCCTCAAAAAAAATTGACAGATTAATTACAAAACTCCAAACAGGACACACGAACCTAAATAACCACCTAAAACAACTTAAAAGACACACCACAGGCAACTGCCCCCACTGCAAACAACCCGAAACCACAGAACACGCACTCATCCACTGCACCCACTACCAAACACACAGAACCACACTACAAACCAACCTCAATCTAAATAAGGTTCCTACTCTAGATGAAATACTAAACCCTCAAAATAAACTAGAAAACTTCAAGGCCCTAGGCGTATTCCTAATCAAAACAGGCCTAATCAAGCGCATCTAAAAACTAATTAATCTACCAATCCAAAATCCAATAAACATACATACACCCACCTCACCCGGCTCCCTTAGTTCCCTCCTCCACCCACCTCGGCATTTATTCCAAATTTTAAAATTTCAAAAAATCGATATAAGCAACCCCTAAAAGCCCCCTCTTGTGTTGCACACATCACTTTCACCCTTCTCGGAATACAATAAATGGTCCGGCCAGGCCCGTGTGCGAAATACGCTACAGTCGGAAAGCGCACGTTAAATCTCCAAAGTAAGTAAGTAAGTAAGCACTATCCATCACTTGCTTGATAAAGGTGTTAGGATCTACACTGAAACGTCGCACTAATTGTAATAAAGAAGTTGTTCATCCATAGAACTCATCTTACTTCATCACACCAACTTCTAAATGCCACTGAAAGAAGTGATCTAAATGTGTCTATATATTGAGAAAATATGTACCTAAGTGTATTTCTTTGGGGTTTTTTCATGCTGAAATAAATTAGAATTTTTTTTTGAACAGCAAAGATGAATAATATTTGAAGTACTGCAATTTTCCACAGTGTAACCTCCCTTCATTAAGTGAGCGTGTGAGTGTGTGAGTGTGTGAGTGTGTTGTGTTTTAACACTGCTTTGAACAGTATTCCAGTCATACACTGGCGTGTCAGTATAATGTGGGAGGACAGCCTGAAGTAATGTAGGTCTCAGACGTTTACCACTATGGTGAAACCAATGAGCACGAGTATAGTGCTGACAAACCTAGAAACATAATCTGTCCGAACCAGAATTTGAATGATTATAGCTTTCTGCAATGCCCAAAGAATGCCACTCTGCACAGCAAAGTGCAGCGCCTCAGAATATTGGGCAACCTGTGCCACGGATTTGTAACTTTCTTCATGCTTTTTCCTGATTGGTCTTTCATTTTGACTTTATCTGCTCGCTCGCAAAGTACTACAGTTTAACCCACTGACCTTTTTGTATTTACAACCAAATTTGGTTGAGAGTTTAAACATTTAATGAATGTTCACTTTCTAATCTTTTTTACAATATTCTCAAATATACAAACTTGTTCCTTGAATAAAACTTCCATATTTCATTCACCAGATGCATGCTTCACAAATTTAGTAAAATCTAAATATTTTTTACATTTTTATACTTATCCTGCATTACTCCTTAATGCTTTTACTGCTGTTTTTTTTAAAGAAAAAAACCCAGGGAGACTGGGTACAGAGGCAGTAAGAGATAAAAGCATGCACAAAAATCTAGAACTGATCTACCGAGTGAATGCTAACAGCTAGTGAGCCCTCTAGTCTGGGGTATTAAGAAAAGAGGTTGGCAGACTCACTCATTGGTCCAACATAATTTGTGACGGCACGGGTTAGCGACTAAATTAAAAAAAATTGGTCTTCCTGATGGAGTGTAAAAGTTATGATGAAAGGAGCCTTCCGCAATGACTGTAACATCACGTTCAGTGCTCTGAACTTGGTCTTTTGATCTTCAAGCCCAAAAGAATGCAGCAAAGCTTGTAATTCCGGTATTTTCATCACATGGCAATCACCCGTTATACCTAGCACTGAATTAATGGCACTGTCTGGGCTCAGTTGCAGTAGTTGGCTGTACATTGAAGTAGAAGGTTTGGCCAAACCAGAAGTTCTAGTCAATCATCACTGGCGAGACTTCGGAGCTCCACGAACCAACTTCTCGCCAAAGTCAGAACAAGGTTCTGAGTGTTCCTTACCTCTTGAGAACCCTGGTATAAGGAGTACAGGAGGCGGAATCCTTCCCAAGGAATGCTGAGAGCATTGACCACTATGGCTGACCGGGTAGGGCACAATCTCGATGGCCATCATGTGTAATAGAACGTTGCACAGGAGATGGCGCTGATGAGGGATGTAGGTGTCTGCCAGGGTTAATGACGTCAGAGGAGGGTCCTTTATAAATGAGAGATGATACCCCAGGCGGGGGACGTTGAATCTCATGCAAAAAGAGTTGGCATGTATTGTGACAGTACTGCTGCTTGTCCAAACTGAAGGACTTCAGGAAATTCCTCGAAGATCATGGAAACAGGCATCCTTGAGGTCAATAAACACTGTCACCTTCGATAAAAACCTGAGCTGGGATCCTAAAGATCCAAAAGCAGACAGAGCTCTTAAGAAAAGGAATAGTGCATAATGCAATCACCAGTCAGTTAACAAGATGCTCGACAGATAAACATAATGAGTGGAGCAATTGGAGATCATCTTATCACCCATAACAGACATTCCAATTCTTCTCTCTCATTCAGTTATACTGTCCCAAGTATAACTTCAGATTCATTTTTTTCTGCATATAACATACCTTTCCCTAAAGGAGAAAATCTTTGCCTCATAAGCATTAAACAGCTCATCTGTCTTACAGAAAGGGCATCTGAAAGAGAAACGAAAACAATGTCAAGACAAAATCAGGATTTTATCTGTCTGTCTTTTTTCAAACTATGCAATGTATATGACATTGCATAGTTTGAAAATAGATAGACAGACAGGTTTTTCAGTATTATGGCCTTATGGCCTAAAGTACAATTGACTCTAACTCATAAAATATTGTCCCATGAATATACAGCAATAACCTATGCTTGAATCTGATATTTAGAGCTGTGTACAATCCACCCTCTGACAGTACTTGACATCACCTGATGTGTACTTATAACCTGACAGTACTTGACATCACCTGATGTGTACTTATAACCTGACAGTACTTGACATCACCTGATGTGTACTTATAACCTGACAGTACTTGACATCACCTGATGTGTTCTTCTAACCTGACAGTACTTGACATCACCTGATGTGAACTCATAACCTGACAGTACTTGACATCACCTGATGTGTACTCACACGCTCTGACAGTACTTGACATCACCTGATGTGTACCTATAACCTGACAGTACTTGACATCCCCTGATGTGTACTCACACCCTCTGACAGTACTTGACATCACCTGATGTGTACTCACACACTCTGACAGTACTTGACATCACCTGATGTGTACTCACACCCTCTGACAGTACTTGACATCACCTGATGTGTACTCATAACCTGACAGTACTTGACATCCCCTGATGTGTACTCACACCCTCTGACAGTACTTGATATCACCTGATGTGTACTCACACACTCTGACAGTACTTGACATCACCTGATGTGTACTCACACACTCTGACAGTACTTGACATCACCTGATGTGTACTCACACACTCTGACAGTACTTTACATCACCTGATGTGTACTCATAACCTGGCAGTACTTGACATCACCTGATGTGTACTCACACACTCTGACAGTACTTTACATCACCTGATGTGTACTCACACTCTCTGACAGTACTTGACATCACCTGATGTGTACTTATAACCTGACAGTACTTGACATCACCTGATGTGTACTCACACGCTCTGACAGTACTTGACATCACCTGATGTGTACTCATAACCTGACAGTACTTGACATCACCTGATGTGTACTCACACACTCTGACAGTACTTGACATCACCTGATGTGTACTCATAACCTGACAGTACTTGACATCACCTGATGTGTACTCATACCCTCTGACAGTACTTGACATCACCTGATGTGTACTCACACCCTCTGACAGTACTTGACATCACCTGATGTGTACTTATAACCTGACAGTACTTGACATCACCTGATGTTTACTTATAACCTGACAGTACTGGACATCACCTGATGTGTACTCACACCCTCTGACAGTACTTGACATCACCTGATGTGTACTCACACACTCTGACAGTACTTGACATCACCTGATGTGTACTCACACACTCTGACAGTACTTGACATCACCTGATGTGTACTCACACTCTCTGACAGTACTTGACATCACCTGATGTGTACTTATAACCTGACACTACTTGACATCACCTGATGTGTACTCACACTCTCTGACAGTACTTGACATCACCTGATGTGTACTTATAACCTGACACTACTTGACATCACCTGGTGTGTACTCACACGCTCTGACAGTACTTGACATCACCTGATGTGTACTTATAACCTGACACTACTTGACATCACCTGATGTGTACTCACACCCTCTGACAGTACTTGATATCACCTGATGTGTACTCACACTCTCTGACAGTACTTGATATCACCTGATGTGTACTCACACTCTCTGACAGTACTTGACATCACCTGATGTGTACTTATAACCTGACACTACTTGACATCACCTGGTGTGTACTCACACGCTCTGACAGTACCTGACATCACCTGATGTGTACTCACACGCTCTGACAGTACTTGACATCACCTGATGTGTACTCATAACCTGACACTACTTGACATCACCTGATGTGTACTCACACGCTCTGACAGTACTTGACATCACCTGATGTGTACTCATAACCTGACAGTACTTGACATCCCCTGATGTGTACTTATAACCTGACAGTACTTGACATCACCTGATGTGTACTCACACTCTCTGACAGTACTTGACATCACCTGATGTGTACTCATAACCTGACAGTACTTGACATCACCTGATGTGTACTTATAACCTGACAGTACTTGACATCACCTGATGTGTACTCACACGCTCTGACAGTACTTGACATCACCTGATGTGTACTCATAACCTGACAGTACTTGACATCACCTGATGTGTACTTATAACCTGACAGTACTTGACATCACCTGATGTGTACTCACACCCTCTGACAGTACTTGACATCACCTGATGTGTACTCACACCCTCTGACAGTACTTGACATCACCTGATGTGTATTCACACACTCTGACAGTACTTGACATCACCTGATGTGTACTCATAACCTGACAGTACTTGACATCACCTGATGTGTACTCATACCCTCTGACAGTACTTGACATCACCTGATGTATACTCACACCCTCTGACAGTACTTGACATCACCTGATGTGTACTTATAACCTGACAGTACTTGACATCACCTGATGTTTACTTATAACCTGACAGTACTGGACATCACCTGATGTGTACTCACACCCTCTGACAGTACTTGACATCACCTGATGTGTACTCACACACTCTGACAGTACTTGACATCACCTGATGTGTACTCACACACTCTGACAGTACTTGACATCACCTGATGTGTACTCACACTCTCTGACAGTACTTGACATCACCTGATGTGTACTTATAACCTGACACTACTTGACATCACCTGATGTGTACTCACACTCTCTGACAGTACTTGACATCACCTGATGTGTACTTATAACCTGACACTACTTGACATCACCTGGTGTGTACTCACACGCTCTGACAGTACTTGACATCACCTGATGTGTACTTATAACCTGACACTACTTGACATCACCTGATGTGTACTCACACCCTCTGACAGTACTTGATATCACCTGATGTGTACTCACACTCTCTGACAGTACTTGATATCACCTGATGTGTACTCACACTCTCTGACAGTACTTGACATCACCTGATGTGTACTTATAACCTGACACTACTTGACATCACCTGGTGTGTACTCACACGCTCTGACAGTACCTGACATCACCTGATGTGTACTCACACGCTCTGACAGTACTTGACATCACCTGATGTGTACTCATAACCTGACACTACTTGACATCACCTGATGTGTACTCACACGCTCTGACAGTACTTGACATCACCTGATGTGTACTCATAACCTGACAGTACTTGACATCCCCTGATGTGTACTTATAACCTGACAGTACTTGACATCACCTGATGTGTACTCACACTCTCTGACAGTACTTGACATCACCTGATGTGTACTCATAACCTGACAGTACTTGACATCACCTGATGTGTACTTATAACCTGACAGTACTTGACATCACCTGATGTGTACTCACACGCTCTGACAGTACTTGACATCACCTGATGTGTACTCATAACCTGACAGTACTTGACATCACCTGATGTGTACTTATAACCTGACAGTACTTGACATCACCTGATGTGTACTCACACCCTCTGACAGTACTTGACATCACCTGATGTGTACTCACACCCTCTGACAGTACTTGACATCACCTGATGTGTACTCACACACTCTGACAGTTCTTTACATCACCTGATGTGTACTCACACTCTGACAGTACTTGACATCACCTGATGTGTACTCACACGCCCTGACAGTACTTGACATCACCTGATGTGTACTTATAACCTGACAGTACTTGACATCACCTGATGTTTACTTATAACCTGACAGTACTGGACATCACCTGATGTGTACTCACACCCTCTGACAGTACTTGACATCACCTGATGTGTACTCACACACTCTGACAGTACTTGACATCACCTGATGTGTACTCACACACTCTGACAGTACTTGACATCACCTGATGTGTACTCACACTCTCTGACAGTACTTGACATCACCTGATGTGTACTTATAACCTGACACTACTTGACATCACCTGATGTGTACTCACACTCTCTGACAGTACTTGACATCACCTGATGTGTACTTATAACCTGACACTACTTGACATCACCTGGTGTGTACTCACACGCTCTGACAGTACTTGACATCACCTGATGTGTACTTATAACCTGACACTACTTGACATCACCTGATGTGTACTCACACCCTCTGACAGTACTTGACATCACCTGATGTGTACTCATAACCTGACAGTACTTGACATCACCTGATGTGTACTCACACCCTCTGACAGTACTTGACATCACCTGATGTGTACTCACACACTCTGACAGTTCTTTACATCACCTGATGTGTACTCACACTCTGACAGTACTTGACATCACCTGATGTGTACTCACACGCCCTGACAGTACTTGACATCACCTGATGTGTACCTATAACCTGACAGTACTTGACATCACCTGATGTGTACTCACACGCTATGACAGTACTTGACATCACCTGATGTGTACTCACACTCTGACAGTACTTGACATCACCTGATGTGTACTCACACACTCTGACAGTACTTGACATCACCTGATGTGTACACACACACTCTGACAGTACTTGACATCACCTGATGTGTACTCATAGCCTGACAGTACTTGACATCACCTGATGTGTACTCACACACTCTGACAGTACTTGACATCACCTGATGTGTACACACACACTCTGACAGTACTTGACATCACCTGATGTGTACTTATAACCTGACAGTACTTGACATCACCTGATGTGTACTCACACGCTATGACAGTACTTGACATCACCTGATGTGTACTCACACTCTGACAGTACTTGACATCACCTGATGTGTACACACACACTCTGACAGTACTTGACATCACCTGATGTGTACTCATAGCCTGACAGTACTTGACATCACCTGCACTATACTCACATCCTAAGAGTTTCTTTGGCTGGGCGCAAACAGCATCCCACTGTCTCACTGACAGCATCCATGGTTGGCTTCCCTCTTATTTTCTTCACAGCTTTCACCAACTTTTCTCTTGCACTTTTCATGGCAGAGAGCTGAGTATAGATGCAATACTCCAATCCTTGTATGTTGCGAAAACTGTAATCAGAAAAATATTTGAAATGTATGAAACTATTAAATATAGACTTAAACGCCATGTGTACACTAATCCCATAAATGAAAATGACTAAGCTGTGAAGATCTGGGGTAGAATAGGACTTCAGCAACCCATGCTTGCCTTTAAAGGCAACTATGCTTGTCCGTAGAGGCGACTAACGGGATAGGGTGGTCAGACTCGCTGACTTGGTTGATGCATGTCATCGTATCCCAATTGTGTTGGATCAATGCTCATAGTATTAATCATTGAATTGTCTGGTCCAGACTCGATTATTTAAAGACCGCTCTCATATAGGTGGAATATTGCTAACAGCAGTGTTAAATAACAAACAAACATGAAACTAACTCATTTGTCAATACCAAACTATCCAAACAACAGCTCTAAAGAAACACATTGAAGCTGAGAAGCATATTGGTCATGTACATCCAAATAGATCAGTGATATTTGTACATTCAAAGCATGTAGACCTCAATTATAATTTGGTTTATGTTGATTCCAGATTTTAGAAATGTTTATAACACCACACCTACCGTAATCTCATTGATAACAAAGCAATTTATGACTTTATCCATGAGACCAAAACTTGAATCTCTTTGGTCAGCTAAGTTCAGCTGATATATATGTCCATATATTCCCATCCAAATAAGATCACTGAATTATTCAATCAAAATGTTCACTGATAAGACAGCATTTATCAAATAACAAATACACAACAAAATATAGCAAATGTCTGGGGAAATTCCACATACTGCATATGAAATTTGCCAATGGATCATGCAGTGGGTGCACTAAATAAAGTTTTGTATATGGTTGAATGTACCAAAAAAATAAGATGTATGACCACAAGAAAATAAAAGAGCAAGTTGTAATGACGTCCTTGCTGGGATGACATACATAAGTATCGATTTAATTAAAAAATATGTTTTCATAGATGTGTCGAAAATGCACTTCAAATAGAAATCAATGGTATTGGTCATATCAGGGTAAAAGTTATTCATAACACTATATATTTATTGCCTGTAGATTTTCAAAATGATCTATGACTTATGGTAATACAAACCGAAAATGTCAGGGAGGTACATAACATTAGTTTCAGTTTCATCAAAACAATTGTTTATTCCAAGAATACTACCTCTATTACATCATTGCCATAATCCATAATCCTGCAATAACACTTCAGTTGTAACATGATCTCTTTTATCTGGCTGTACCATCAACTTAACTGCCCTCAGCTCCCTGCAGTTCTCCAACCATCCGTGGCAAGCCTGTCCCCATGTGTACCATGTGGTTACGGTTAACTGGTGAGCGAAGGGAAGGTCCCCTAGCCTCTGTCCAGCTATATTATGCCTAGCATGTTGAGAACAAGAGGCCCATAGGGCCTGTATCGCTCACCTGGATATTTACGCAAAATGACAAAATATACATTTGTATTATAGATGTATATAATACTGCAAATATTTTGTAATTTTGACTCTGTCACCATTTAAAAGGGGTGGATGGCAAATTTTACAGCATGAATGTGTACTTCTTTAGATACAAATGTAGCATAAAGATCTGAACCGTTTCCATATCATGATCCAGGCAAATTACCCTTTTCAGCCCCTCCATTTCTCCAATCTGAATCCCCACCATTGGAGAATGCTTCCAACCAAATATCGAACAATAGTTATCATTGTTAATAATTCTAAGAACACTACACTACACTACACTACACTACACTACACTACACTACACTACACTACACTACACTACACTACACTACACTACACTACACTACACTACACTACACAACACTACACTACACTACTGCCTAAAGTTCATTCCCCTAACACGCATTGAGAACGCTTTTACCACGCATGTGCCACGGGTGCTCAACGGGTTGCACACGAGTTGAGTACCCGTTAAACACGCGTGTGCAACCCGTTGAGCACCCGTGAGTCACTCGTTGCATACGTGTGTGCCATGCGTGTAACACGGGACCGGGTTTCAGTTGAAGTTGGAAAATATATCAAATGGATAGTAAGATAAATCTAAACAGTGAGATGTGAATCTTGAGTTAATGAGCGGCCATTGACCTGTGTTCACCAGACCATGAACACAAGGTCGGCCCGTCTTAATTAGTGTTCGGTTGCTGGACTTTTATGGCATGAACCATTCCACGAGGGTCCAGTCTAGCCATTGTGGCTACCCGACAGTAGAACAGTAGTGAGTTTAGAAGCGAGTTTATTGCTAGGGGATACCCCGAGTTGACACAATTGTCGCGGGTTGGTAAATGCTCGCCATTAATGAAGTGATTGTTTGTGGATTGAGAACATATTCGTTTTAAGTTTTGCCCACGTGAGTCATTTAGGGTGACTGCAAATATAACGTTTTTCGTTCGCCAAATTTATGATTTAGATAGTACAATTATGATAGAACAGTCATCACTGCTTATCATTTGGCTCGGCTGTAGTGACCTAAACGCTGATAAGTTTAGACGACATGTATCAGACATATCTGACTGCACTTGTGGGTATCACTTTGAAGACGCAATTCACTTTTTCTATACCTGTCAAAAATACCATAATATCAGAAACACTATGTACTTCTACACACATGGGTATGATTTAAAAACGGTATTACATGGCAATAGTTCAGTTAGCAGTTCTACAAACATGACTATTCTTAAATCAGTTCACGATTTCATTGTCAAAAGCAAAAGATTCGAGTAGCTTAATTTTATGCATGTAGTAATGGAAAACTGCTATATCTTATTTCACAGACACCACTTGTATTGGCTTCATATATTTCATTTGTGCATTTAGTATGTTTATGTTTAGCACTATTTTACATATAATCTGATATATAACCAGCTGTTGTAAAGTTATTACCTGGAGAGGTATTTACATAAGCAAGTTTTGCTTGTTTACCGATCCAGATTTCTTTTGAAATAAAAATATGTTTAAACCATCACTGCTTATGTCTTATTATTTCACGTAGGAATATGTCCCATTTTCCCACACCCCACTTTCTGTTTGGTATTTTGTAGAATTATTAAGAGAAAGTTTTGTGTGGGACTTAACATTTATCACTAATTCTAAGAGGATATTGGAAAAGAATATGAACAGCCATTTTGTCTCACTGTTGATAGAATTTTAGATCTTCACAATCACCGAGTGTGACCATGTAGACAGAATCTCGTTAGGGTTTGTGATTTTTACATTTGCCCAATGACAATGGTTATGCGCAAGGCGCGGCATCGCGAAAAGATCACTGGAGGTGATGATGGAGGCTGGACATGCAGCATACAGCATTTCCAGTGTAGGCTGGCACCTCATCTTTGTTTCACTCGGTATTTAAAACTTTGACCATTCACAGGTGCATTTGTCTATTTACAATGAAGTTGTTTAGCGTTCCCAGTATTTCTATACTATCTCACTGATTACTTGTTAATTGGTCACTGCAAGTGCCTTAATTATTTAAATTTCAGTGAACTGAGTTTATTCACATGTTAGCTTTCAAAGGTTGTGATGGATACTTGTATAATCCTCAGTTGAGTTTACTCAATAACTACTGTGAGTGTTTTAGCATGACTTCTGTGCTTGTATAAACACAGTAACTGCTAAAAGCGGCGTGAAACCATGCTCACTCCCAGTAACTGTTAATCCTCTGCATTGTGCTGGCAAATTGGGGATAAACCTGTGACGATCAAACTTAGTTAAAATCCTTGTTTATCTGTGACATCTTCCAACTGGTGACATTTTAGTAAACTTGAAAAGTGATGATGAATTTTAATACTCATATTATTATAGTTTTTCAAATTGTAAATAAAACTTTGATAAAATTTTGCTACACTCTCTGGAAAAATGTATTGTCTGTGGGTAAGTTTATATGTCACGTCACATCAGCATTTTTTCAGTTATATTGCGGCGAAATAATTGCCAGCTTTTGGGACTACATGTAACATGGCTGCTTTTGTATTTCTTATACAGGTGCTGGATGGGCTGGAAATGAATGTTGCTTCGTATTGTGGTCGAACTCAGCACGAACCCCCCAGGATACCTCTGTCCAACAAGCCCTCCTCCTGCCTTCTGAATTTGTTGAAACTGATGAATTTGACAACAAATTAGGATAGAGTCACCACTGCCACAACAATTTCTGCCTTGTGTCAATCGCTTGCCAGTTAAGTTACGCGATGCCGTTATCTTGAGTATGAAGCATGTACACTGCTGACAGCAGAATATGTCAAACATCCCCTTATTTATAGTAAACAATGTAACATACCAATATGTCTTTCTATTAGGTGCTCTTGTGTGAATGAATGATGCTATTTTTCTATTAAGTTTCTAAAAACAGACTTATTTTTCACTCATATGCTTTTCAAATAATTATTTTGTCCCCTCAAGAACTGACTCCTGGCTGTTATATCCAAACTGGTTTGCCATTTGATATTGTCTGAACACTTTTTTCAGCTTTTCACATGCCTGATGTTGACTGGGGAGGTATATGTGCACTCATGCAGAAGAAGTAGGAGTTTCGACATCGAATTTGGCATTTGGAGAAGCTGATCCGAAGTCCGGTGTTGGCAGTGTGTGATCGACAACCCTTGTTTTGCCTCGCTGCGCTTTATTACCTTGTAGAAGTTGTGGAACTTGGACATGTAGGTACAGTAAGTACATTTAAGAACCCCAGTCCACTTGAGGCCCCTCTGTTGCTCACTATCAAGTGCCATAATAAGATCACCCTCATGCACTAGACATTTCTGACAGTGCTCCCTTAATGCCTCACTGTGCAGTTTTTTAGTTTGCAAACATGAAGTAAGGGCTATACACCAGTCCCAGAACCTGCTTAGATGAAAATAATATCCAGTGGCTCTTTTGGAATGTAACATTATGGTTCTGAAATCATCTGTAAAGAATGTGATAGTGTTCGACAAAACTAAATTATCTCCACTGTTTAGTAAAATGCATTGTATCTTTCATTGCCCTATAAACCCATAAAT